AGCTGGTTCTTTGGAGAGATTTTTAAAAATTGACAATCTTGCACAAGCTTGGCAAAGAAAAAAAGAGAGAGAACACACAAATGACCAACATCAGAAATGAAGTAGAGAATATCATTACAGACTCTGCACACATCATGAGGATAACAGGGAATACTTTGAACAAATCCAGGTATGCAAACTTCACAACTTTGATAAAATGGACTAATTTTGTGAAAAACACAAACTACCACCATTACCCAGATGAGATAGAAAATTTTAATGGCCTATAATTAATTTTAAAACTCCCAGAAGAAGAACCTCCAGGCCCAGAAGGTTTCATTGGCTAATTCTACAAAACATTTAAAGAATTAACAACAGTTCTAAGCAACTTATTTCAGAAAATAGAAAAGGAGAAAACATGTCCTATTTCATTTTATGAAGCCAGTAGTTCCATAACAAACCAAAGACATTATTAAAAAATAACTACAAATATTCCTTATGAATACAAACATAAGGACCCTTAAAATATTAGCAAATATAATTCTGCAATATATACAAAGGATTATACACCATGACCAAGTGGGGTTTCTTCCAGGGAAGTACGACTAGTTCAATATTTGAAAAGAAATCCATGTAGTCTACCATTTTAATAGGCTAAAGAAGAAAAATCATGTAATCATATCAATCAATGCAAAAAAAAAAGCATCCGATAAATTTCAACATCCATTCATGATAAGAACTCTTAGAAATAACGATAGAGGGAAACTTCCTCTACTTGATAAAGGACATGTACAAAAAACCCCACAGCCAATATGACACTTAATGGTGGAAGACTGAATGCCTTCTTCCTAAGCTCAGGACAAGGCAAGTGTATCCACTCTCATCAAAGACCTCCAACTCTGCCCACCTCTCCTTGCTCCTTTCCCAGAAGCATTTCCCAGGTGCCTCCCTCCCTTTAAAACACAGGAGTCCCCTCCCAGCTTTCCTGGAGCCAAGCATCAGAATCACATGCCAAGAAAATGGAAAATAAATACCAAATGAATAGAATTCAACACTTGTTAATACCCTACCCCGTGCCTTCTAGTAAAGCTTTGCTGTAACTGTAGTCCATTTTTTAATGATAGGTTACTTTTAGGAAGTGAGATTTCTTTTATAAGGAGAAATCTAATATTAAACTACTATTCATACCCCAGGGCAAGAACTGCTTTCACTGCTGCTAATGCATCTTGCCTGACTGACTACCCTGAGAACCAGCAAGTGAAGCCTCTTAGTCAAAACAGGGGTCCCAAGAAAGTGAGGGCGGGCTGTTATAATGACAACAGCCTGTCTGCTCACCGGGAGGGGTTGATTAGGCTGACTGGCTCACCGGGTTCCCCAGCTTCCCCTAACACTTCAGGTATTCTGTTTCCAAGCCTGGGAAATCATAGAGAGATTACATGGTCCTTGCACCACAGTTCAGCTACTTTACTAGCCCATAGTTTCACATTCAGTTCTCATAAACTTAGTTGGTTTCCAGTTCATGGCTAATCAGAAGGAATACATTTCATAGTCAGAAAAGCACTTCGTTCATTCAATTACCATTAGTTGAGTGCCAAAGAAGTGCCAGGCACTTGGAGATAGGCACTGACCAATACACAGTGATCCCTATCCTCCCTAGCTTATGTAGAGGGGGTTCAGAGAGAAGAATAAATTAAAATTAAATAAAATAATTACAACATTTGACAGTGGCTGACAGGGCTATAAACAGACCTGAGGCGCTTACACTTTCTCCAGATATAAAAAGCAATTTCCTTTCCAACACTGTTGAAATACAGAATTAAAAATTCAGCCCTAGCTGGTTTCGCTCAGTGGGTAGAGCCTCAGCCTGCGGAGTGAAGGATCCCAGGTTCCATGCAAGGGCACATGCCCTGTCTGTGGGCTTTATCCCCAATAGGGGGTGTGCAGGAGGCAGCCAATCAATGATTCTCTTTCATCATTGATATTTCTATTTCTCTCTCCCTCTTCCTTCCTCTCTGAAATCGGTAAAAATATATTTTTAAAAATTTCATAAAATTTATTGGCCCCAAATATACTCTAAAATTTATTTTTAAAAACAAAATCCCAGATGCTGGTGTGTTACTATCTCTATGTTAAAAGCTGAATGCCATTCCACAATCCTTACTTAGTTCTACACTTGAGTTGCTTTAAGTAACTGTTGTAGACTCACCTAGGCACAAAACTACCTTGTGGGAAATGTTTTGTTTTTAGGAAAGTGAAGTCGAGTCCAAACAAGCAACCAACAAATCAATCAACCACTTAAACTGGAGACGGCCAAGATAAAACACGAATCTGGCTTTCTACAATGTTCAACTCCAACCAATCTGAGGTACATGTTTAAAATTACATTATGAGAGGTACCTAATTACCTAATCTTTTCAAATACGCCAAACACAATGACCTAATGTTAAAACCTACTGACTAGCAGACACCGTTGACTGCAAATCTGACCCACACAGACAATAACCTGAATTTCCACCAAGGTCGCTGTAAGCACCAAATGATGGAGCCAAAATGCTTCCAGGTTTCATCTGGGCCTCAGGGGGAAAAGCAGCTCTGAATGATCATTTTGGGAGAAACCCACATTTCTTACAATTCAGATGTAATTTCTTCATGTTTAACTCCAAGGCTTTTGTTAATTTGCTTGACTTTGTTTGTTCAAATAAGATTATTCATAGTCTACAGGCTCTGGATTTGTTCCTTACTATTGTACCTCTACTTCTTCCCATTTCATAAAGCCTCGCCTACATTAAGTTACTTCTGAAAGCTTCCGCCTGGCTTTTCCTTCTAAACACCTACAATTGTAAGTGGGGGAAGATGTGTAGTCCAGTCCTCTTGTCACATATTAGGAATAGGAAAGGAATGATCTCTCTTTTTAATAATCTCCAGAGAATTTTCCGTCAAATCCCTCCCTTCACCCACTCCTCTGTAACCCCCGGGAAATCCTCCCTTTCGTCTCCTGGGCATCACCCTCAAACTCTGCCATCCACCCGTGCTGCTCCTTTGTGTCCCATGGAGACCATCAGCCCCTGTGACAACCTGGCACGGGCCTGCCCCTCTCAGTCTCATCATCCTCTGCTCCAAAGCCTCTGGCTTCCATCGCACTCAGAATAAAAGTCAAGTCCCTATAAAGATCAGGCTCTGCATCATCTAAGCAGCCTGCCACCTCCTCAGCTCTCCAGCCCCCTCTCCTTCCACTCCTCCCTGCTCCCACCTTCACACTAAGGTCCTGCCTGGAGTGCTCCCTCCTCTCCGCGAGGGTCCTTCTCAAACGTTACCTCCCTTTAACCCTCCACCGGCCCATCCCACGTGAAACTGTCAACTTCCAACTCCCTACCCTCTAACACACTTTCTATTTAACTTGCTTTATTAACTATTATCCCTAATACTGTATAAGTTCTAAGAATTGTTAACGTAAAAAACCATTGAAACCTGTAAAGAATTTTTGTGAGTTTATTTGAGCCAAACTGTCGACATATGCAGGGAAGCAGAACCTCAACGAATTGAGATAATGCTCTGGAGAATGGCGGCGTCACATTTGTATTTATACATTTGCAATCAAAGGAGGGACGTAGGTGGGTTACATGTAATTCATTGGTGACAGATTAAGGAGGAGGGATAAAGCAAAGCAGGGGAAACCCCTGGGATTGGATGAAAAGTAAAATGATGGACACATACTTAGGCGGGTGCAGGACCAATTAACATGATAATGAAGGCATTTGTGGTATCTGTCCTGGCGCCCAGCACTTTAGGTTGTGCCCCCAAGGGGGCCAAAAAAAGGGAAGTTACAAGTTACCCAGACATTTCAAGGGTATGTTATCATAGATGCAAAAAGACAGATAGGCTCAGTTAAGGTATAGGTTGACCTTGTCAGTGAAGATACTGGCCTAGGACGTAACTGCCCACCATCACTGCTTTAGTTAAAGTTTAATTTCAGACCGTCCTTTGTGGTTACTTTAGGTCTCTGAGTTTGCAAGACCGCCATGCAGGCCTCCCCTGAGCCTGTCAGGTCAGCATGTGGCCCCTTTCATCCACAGGATGCAAGAAATTATGTGGGTTTTTTTTTTTTCCCTGCTGTATCCTGAGGGCCAGGAAGGTGCAAGTTACCTGACAAGAGCCGAGTAAATATTTGTCAATGAATGCAAGTGTCATCCACGTAAGAGATATGTGCTGGACACCAGGCCGGGGCCATGTTTGTTAAAGTCAAGATAAGTAAGACACTGTCCCTGCCTTTAATGTACTAGAATCAGTGGTTCTCAGCCTTCTGGCCCTTTAAATACAGTTCCTCATGTTGTGACCCAACCATAACATTATTTTCGTTGCTACTTCGTAACTGTAATGTTGCTACTGTTATGAATCGTCATGTAAATATCTGATATGCAGGATGGTCTTAGGCGACCCCTGTGAAAGGGTCGTTCGACCGCCAAAGGGGTCGCGACCCACAGGTTGAGAACCGCTGGACTAGATGGAGACATGCACCACAAACAAAAATGTGCGACACAGAGCTGCACACTAAGGCAACGGGAAGGCATGCCAAATGCTCAGAGGACGAGGCCTCGGCCTCGCTTTCCTGGGGACCGGCTCAGCCACCCCGGGCGCGCTCCTCTAGGTTCCTGAGATGCGCAGGAGCCCCTCGGCCTCCCCACGCCTGAGAGGTTCCTCATCCAGAGGAGCAGCTTCCGGCCTGCTCGCGCCCGCCGGACACGGGATCAGTGAAACATATTTAACAGGCTCTGCTCTTCAGCCTCCACCCCGCTCCTCTGCCCTGCGGGTCACTCCCCCGCAGGCTGGGGCTGCACCCCGGTCGGACCACAACACCCGCTCCCTGATGCGCGCCCTACTTCCGCGGTCCCACCTGCTCCCGGAGTTCCCTTCGGCTCCCGTCCGCG